CGAGGTGTTGGGTGTAATGTTTGGGTGTAATGTTTGGGTGTAATGTTTGGGTGTAATGTTTGGGTGTAATGTTTGGGTGTAATGTTTGGGTGTAATGTTTGGGTGTAATCTGTGGGCGAATACGGATTTATTGACCAAAAGTCACTGCTATTCGAAGGCTTTGCACGAAAGCCTAACTTCGATGCAAATTATTTATGACTTCTGGTTGTGAATGAGTGCTGTCTTCGGATATCTGACGCCTGTCTCACAATCGGTCATTCAAATCAAGTCTCAGATCTTAATCACAATTAAGTGATAATATGATCATTTTGCCGGCCCTTCAGGGCAACCCCTCCCGTCCTACGGATAGGCAAGGTTTACCAGCAGTCCATCCCCGGGCAGTCAATTAGATTGAGAGCCAGACTAAACAAAACACTCGGTCATGAATCAACTGTTTTTTATTTGAAGCAAAAGGAAACTCATTATAAAATGTGTTTCAGTTGACCACCAAAACTAAAAACTGTCGATTTTAGGCATTTTTAGAATAATCTAAACCTATAGAAAACATTTAGTAGTCATAGAAAAGCACTAATAATTAGGTTTACAGACGAAGAAAATATTTCTAAACTTGAAATAATGGCTAAATAGAGAAATGAGTAAATAATGGACTAATAAATCTGCAATTTTCTCGATTTATCACAAACTGATAAAAGTTATAAAAGAGTTATATTAAACTCTAATTCATACAAAACTACCAAAAATTCATTTATCCTAATTTTCACATTATTCAATGTTATCTTTTAATATAATTTAAAACTTACTGTTAGTCAAATAAAATAAACATGATTATATGTTTTATTCTCAATAATTTTAAAACCATTTTTATTGCAATAGTTTTTAGACATTTAAGCAATATTTTTCCCCAGTCATTATAATACTTGTATTTCTAAATGAATCAACATAAATATAAATTATTTGACTATTTAATTTAGTAAAACTTAATTTGCTGTATTGAAAATTTATATTATAAACAATTAATTTTAATAAAATACAACTCAATTGTGAACATGAGCGATACACTATTCATTACTAAACCATCAAAATATGACCATGTTAATTCATTTAGCAAGATTTATTCTACGTACGTCTACATTTTAAATCCTATCTAAACTGATGAAATAATTTTGATAATCATTTGACAGATGGATATATCCGTTATTCTTAAGAGGTTTTCGAAAAGGCATTGATTTGACTGATCTGTATAAATGCTCTCAAAGTCAACAATCAGAGCATTTGATGCATAAACTTGAGAGGTATGCCTAAGACAATTCAAAAATTTATGAAAGCAATTACTATTTTGGACCTGTTCAATTTAATATATGAATTATATAGGAACTGGAATAAGGAATTGTTAAAAACAAATCCAAGTATACTGATGGCTACATTCAAGACATTCTTTCCTTATCTATTTATTCTACTTATACTTGAATTCCTAACGGTAAACCTTAAGAAACATTTCTAATTTTTCATTTTTTATTTATAATCAAATTTCAAACTAAATTAAGTCATGTATTTATGACGTGTATTAGGGCTGTGTTTTAAACATTTTTAAGGCCCTATTTGTCGGACGTATACTCCGGTATCTGTCAGATCCGACCAAAATGAGTTATAGTAGTGCCTGTGTCTATGCATTTGGTGTTATCCTGGTGACAGTGTTAATGCCGATCGCATACCACCCCCAGTGCCTCATATCATACAGAACTGCCGTTAAAATGCGGGTCAGTTGGCGGTCACTTATGTATAAGAAGTCATTACTATTGAAGACATCGGCGTTTGAGAAGACAACTGTCGGACAGATTGTGAATCTCATGACTAACGATGTCTCCAGATTTGATGAGGTCTCACATCAACTCATATCCATTAATATCTATTTTTAATTATATTTTTATTTGATTTCATATATAGTTTTGTTTAGCATTTCCGTCAATAATAGTAGTGCCCATAAACTCATTAATTAGTTTATATATTTGTTGGCTATTTATCGGACCGGCATTTCTCGTAGGGTTGGCTATAATTATACTTTTAATTCCGTTTAATATAATCAATGGAAGAGTATTTCGACGGATGAGGTCTGTATTGAATCCAATGTTTGCAAATAATTCTCAATTTACTGTAAATAAAACTTAACAACAGGTCAAAAGTCATTCACTTAACGGATTACAGAATACGACTAATGAATGAAATTATAAGAGCCATGAAATTAATTAAAATGTATGCCTGGGAACTGCCGTTTTCGCGATCTATTTCCGATTCTCGCCGGTATGTATTACTGAAATTAAAAGACACATTAAAAACATTAAATAATTATAATTAGCAAAGAGATGGAAAATATAAAATGGATGTTATTATACCAGAATGTCACGAGAATTATGTTTCTATTTCTTTCACGAATTGTCGTTTTTGTAATTCTCATAACATATGTGCTAATGGGTGGTCATATGAACCCGGAGCCGGTATATGTGATTATGATATTATTGAGATATATCTGCACCGGTCTGGCCAATGAAATCCCACGAATGATCGGTGTGTCCGCAGAAATATATGTTTCTTGTGGAAGGGTTCAGGTATTTCTTGACAAATCATTTCTGTATCATTAATAAATTCTATTGTTTTTATAAACTTGGTAGAAATTCTTGTTACTATGTGAAGAACCTGTTAATGAAATTAATAAAAACGATAGCAACGAATTACCAGAATTAATAGGATTGGTTGCAAGTGAAATTAACCCGAAATATAGTCATAATGAGCAAAATACTAATATCAATACAAATATCGATAAAAGTATAGAGAATTATAATAGTATTCTTGTGAGGGATATGTCTGCAACCTGGAGAACCGTAAGTAATTGAAACTCATTATTATATTACTAATATAAAAGTTTTTATTTTAAAAACTAAAAATAATTAGGAATCAGAAGAATCTACTTTAAAAGATATATCAATGAATGCAAAGTCTGGTGAACTTGTAATAGTTATTGGACCGGTAGGCTCTGGAAAGGTATAGAATATTTACCTTACTTATTAAATTACTTATTTTATAGGAAAAATAATTTAAAGCAATTTATCTGATTTTATTATCAAATTGAGAGCACATTCCTGATGTCACTGATGAATGAGTTGCGGATCACTTGTGGTTCTCTGCAATTAAACGGAACCATAGCTTATGTCTCACAGGAGTCGTGGGTTTTCAACGCAAACGTCAAACAGAATATTATTTTCGATAAACAATACGAAAAGAAAAGGTTTCGTGAAGTGGTGT